ATTTCATGAATGTCAAATTCAAATATTGCAAAGAAATCAAAAAATGACACAACTGTGGCGCATATCAGAGCTATCTGAAGTAAATAAAAAAATTTTTAATGCATATTTGATGTCATTATAACACCCGCTGCTATCATTTCACAATGTGACATAATATACATTCACTCAGAAGTATTGCAAAATTGCAGGAAGTGCAACAATTCAAGAATGAATAATATGAATTTGTACTTTGCACATATCAAACGTAACTATCTTAACGCATATGAGAAATTGAATGAATTTTCTTCATAGCTATTGAAGTAGTTAGTACTACAGTAGATATTCCTTTCACGATTTTAATTTTTTTAAACTGATGCAACAAAGCAGCACTGAAAATCACATAATTGTTGAAATATTGACAAGAGATAGGAAACTGAAACAGATAATTTGAATTTCTATCTCACCACAAACAAATATTGCTTGAATCAACATTATCCGTTCATATTTGTTTGTTGCAAACATACTCTTTTGTTCATATCCTACAAAAATTCTTATAATAGTAAATTTAACTACTTTATTTCAAAATTAAATAAAAAGACTGAAATGATTGCAAATTCTGAAAATGTTTGAAAACGGCTTCAAAAAAATATTTGTCACAAACAAACTTAAATTGTGCTATTTCTCAGATAAAGTTGGATAAAGTTCAAGAAGCTATAAGCAATAATTTGTGATACAATAAGAACAAATGAATGACTGTAAAGATTGTCATAGCCACAGCAAACGACCATCAACGGTACATTGCTAACAATACCGTATAACAAAAGAAGCGAACACAGTACAACCGCCACTTATTTTTTACCGTATTGCATTCAGGAATAACGCAATAATACAGTAAGGGGCATCGGTTTGCTCATTGACAATCTTTTACGGAACCATCTTACTTCATATTATTTAAGTTCATGCACACGTGAATGTCAATGACTAGAAATTTAAAAATTCAAAATTCGAAAAAAAAACATCAAAAAAAAAAATTCTCTGAAATGTTTTTTTGAAGAATGCTTTTAGCTTAAACTACATGTGATATGAAGAATGTTTTAGCTTAAGCTACATATGAAGAATGTTTTTAGCTTAAACTACATGTGTAAAAGCAAATTTAGAATTTCTTTATTACTGCCCTGTTTCTTTGTGATACAAAGTAGCTTCCTTTCTTGATGGTTCAGGTCGCTGACTTCTTTGTGCTCGATACTGGTAGATTCTCGAATTTGTACTGGTTCCGTTCTGTGTACGTGTTCTGTGGGAGTCTTCGTGAAATACTTTATTATTCAAACCTCATACTTGGGTAAATAAACCACAGATTAATACTAAATATTATACAGCATTACAATAATGAATTGATACATAACACACAAATGTAACTTAATTACAAAACATTTAAAGATATAAGCAAGCTAGACACCTCGCAAGCGAGCCATACCAAACAAAGAACTATAATCAGTGTATTTGTAAGGAAGAAAATTGGGAGGGATTTTATGGGTGTTAAGGTTACGAAGTGGATTAAATAAAACAATAGCCTTTGTTTATTAGGTTATAGCTTCGCCATTGGGCGACAACATGTGATATGAAGAATGTTTTAGCTTAAACTACATGTGGATATCATATCCATTTGAGTGAGAATAATTAATCAGAAATAAAAATTTAATTGAAAAAATAAGTTGTATTTTTTTTATCGATCAAAACTGTTAAAAGCAATTTGACGTGGTTCGTCATGCAAAATCTTAAACTGTACAAACAGAAGGATTTATTGAAAACTTAAATTGAATAGAAAGTTTAAAATGAGTTCAAGTTGCAGCCCCACCCACAAGTATTGTGAACCTAAAATTATTGATATAAGGAAAAAAAAAAAGCTCAAAGCTTTCCAAACATGCACTTTGATCTCCATGTCTGTTCATTATTAGTGCAAGTAAGCTAACTAAGTTTCATTTGATAGCATACAATTCTGCTTTACCTAAATCATAACAAATAAATGAATAATATATTAAATGTTAAGATATAACTTTATTTGATTTATGAAGATATGATCAAATAATGCTAAATGTGTCTGGTGCTAAGCAGAAGTCTTTATTAATGCTTCTTGAAGCGTTTTAGTCAAGCTGGTTTATAATTATTTAAGAAGCTTCTTTAATAAGAACCTTCTACACATACTGCAGTTCATTATGCTAACTATAAATTGTTAACTATCTGTAATTAAACCAATTTATTTGGTAAATCCAAGTAATTTTGCTATAGAATTAAACGTAATCAACCAATTACGGCGACAAAAATCCAGAAAACCAACTTATATTAGAGAAATTGTCGTCACACATAGCGATTAAATAAAACAAAAAATGTTTTGTCATAGAATAATTTGGCGATGAAGTATCATTCTATTTTAGATAATTGTTAAAAAGTTTGGTGTTTGAAGGGAGGATTTTATAAAAGATTATTTCTTTTTTGACAGCAATCTGTAGAAGATTCAATTGAAATCCATTGAGATTATTGTTTGTTAAAGATTTGATTAAAGCGCACAATTGGAGTGCATTAAAAGAGAGGGAAATTTTGTAGTTTTTGACAAATTGATATTGTGATAATGTGATCTTTTCTCTTTTTTTAGTTCTGTTATTCTCTTTTTTCCCTTTTCTACAAAAATTTCACAACAATTTTACATTTGTAAATAAATTTCATCATAAAATTGAAATGCTTCCATCAATAATTACAGTAATTTGCTCATTAAGTGATTCATGATGAAATGAGCACAACAGACTTATTATTTGGTTGAAAATTGTACCACAATCAAATATTAGATTTGAGATATTTATAATTTGAATGACTTAGAGACATTTGCGCTTCTTTTGCTTTTTTATGCAACTCCGAATTGTTTGTCCATTTCTTAACTTAAATAAAATGGGAAAGCATAACAAATTAGTTAAGATTGGACCGAATAAAGTGATTGCAGCAATGATTTCTCTTTTTCTTTGAGAATATTTGTCAATTGCCAGAATTTCTATAGAAATTCGTCTTATTTTTATTCAAAGAAAAGAAATTTGCTTATGAAATTTGTCACAAAAGTTACAATTAACTTAAACTATTCAATCTGCTCCTCTTACTGTGAGAAGTAAGAAGAATGGCAAAGTATTAGTACGTCATTTATTTATTTTTCACGTCATTTATTTATTTAAATAGTCCCTTTCCATATTTTTTTTAAAAAATTTCTGAATATTTTATTTGTTTCTTCATAAGTCTTATTCCATTTAATTGTGAATCCATTTCATAAATATAAAAATTCCCGATACGTATTGATTAATCATTTCATTATCCAATTATTGTTGTGATTTGTAAAAAAAATTTGATTGGAATTAGTTGAGATTGTTGTTTGGTAAATATTTTATGAGTGTGCAGATTGTGACATTGCAAGTTCATACTAATCCGATTGTATGGGAACGTTTCTTATATTGCTATTTCAGAAGCAAAAAGTTGTAATCCTTTGATTACGACATGAAATTTGGAAAATGTTTGCAGTGATATACTGGAAATCATTGACAACATTTCTGAGATTTACTTACCCGTCGTCAATAAATTGGGACATTCAATATGCAAATTTGAATTGATAGTTAGATAAATGGTTAATTTAAGCGAGAAATGATGAAGCAATCTTCATAGTCCTTTTGTTTTTTATGAACACTGATTGAAAATTGTTTTGAAATTGTGATAAGACGGAAGTTATATTCGCATTATCAGAAAGTCATTTGCTGTGGAAATATCTTTATACTATTATTCATAATGAAATTGTGCTTTAATTTGATATATTATTCAGTTTTTGATATTACATAGGTAAAATAAAAATCCATTAATCAAATGAAAACATTAGTTTATTTTTTAAGAAAGCCAAGGAAAAAATCAAAGTAAGTGACATGAGAAATGAAAACAATCATGAGAAACACTGAGCTCATTTCTTTCTTAGATCAATAATTTCAAATTCACAATACCCGAAGATAGAGACGCCAAATTAACCCATTTTAAATCTCATATTCAGTTTAAATTTTCAATGAATTTAGCTTTTCTTAATGTGATTTGATATTGAAAATGGCAATCAAGCATCAAACTACTTTCAGCAGCTTTGACAGATGGGCAGAAAAATAAGAAGTTAATTTCACGATTAAATTTATAATTCTCATTAAATATTATCACATTCGCCATAATGATTGCAATTGCTGTGTGAAATTTGAGTTAAAAGCATTCTTCGTAATTTATTATTTTAGGCATTAAAAAATCTAATAACTAACAGTCAGTTTGGCACAATAATCGCAGTTTCCGGAAAAGATTGTCAATGAGCAAACCGATTACTCATTCTTACTGTATTATTGCATTATTCCTGATATTACTGTTAAATTGTCACGCAGAGAATGCGACAAATGTGTTCGATATAAGGAATGAATGTAATACGGTAAAAAAATACGTGGCGGTTGTACTGTTTTCACTGCTTTTGCTATACGGTATTGTTAGCAATGTACTGTTAATGGTGGTATTCTGTAGCCGTGACAATCTTTACAGTCGAGCGTTCATTATTATCGCATCACAAATTATTGTTTGTAGCTTCTTGAACTTTATCCCACAAGCGACCATTGTTGTGCTTAAAATAGTAAGGAACAAAAATTTTGGGAGTAAGTTCTTTATGTTCGCTCATATATCACTAACTTATCATTTATATGATTTGAAATATTCATAATTAAATTGATTATAGCATAGTATGTTAATAAATAAAGTTGAATTACATTTATTTCATGTAATGTCACAAATGATTAAACAATTTTGTTTTGATTATCTATTCCATCAGTATTTAAGTACAAATTTCAGCATGGATTTACCGAATATTTTCTGTTTTGAGTACATTTTCGTTTTTCGTCTCGTTGCACTTAACATTTTTATTGGCAATGAATCGCCTTATAGCTATATGTTTTCCAAAATTTAACGCTTTTTTCAAATCGATGAAATTCTATTTTCTGCTCATCTTCCTATGGTTATCAGGTTTCGGTAGGTTACACCAATCATTTTATGCAATATTTTATAAAAAAGAATTGGTTAAAAAGAGACTGCGAATGGCATCGTAATATAAGTCGTAACTAAGTTTAGAAATTATCATTCGGTGGTTGTTCAGTGCATAGTAGTCAGTCTAACTGGAGTTATCAGAACTTAATTATTTTGCAACCTCAGTGATAAATTTATGCCTGACCCTGTTAAAATGTAAGCAACACTACGAGCTTATCATATTAATTTCACTTTTATGATGAACTATCAGTGTCTAAAATTTCGCAAATGATTTTTCAGTAATATCGCTAGTAGAATTTCATTATTGCATCAAAATTTTTAATGTATCAAACTTCAAATGGTCATTTAATTGTACCAAAAGAACGCCAGAAAGTGGAGCTGTGTTTATGAAGTTCGTTTTCCCTTGAATTTCATATTTTTTCTTTTAAAAAAAGAATAATATGCATTAAAAACGGAAGAATTTTAAGTATATTTTATGTGCTACAAAAATATAAAAACAGTTTCGATGATTATAAGTTCAATTTTCTTTTTGCTAAAGCAATTATTGTCCATCGGCTAACATTTTTACTTCCCGCATATATGCTTACTTCCGTTTGTTTGCATGTTTGGTTATTTATGTTCAGAATTCGTTATGCATGGACTCTTGCGATACCCATTGCGATGTTCGCAATTTATATTCTAATATTCTGCAGTATGCGTAACAAACGGAAGAATGTTTCGAATTTGTGCATGGTGAACGGTAATTTATATATTATTGCACTACTTTTTTTATTTCGCGCTATCTTGAAAAAATATAAATTATGTTCATTTATCATAAATATTCCATTGAATTTGTTCTCAAACATTTTCAGAAGTCTTTGAAATTTCAAAATCATTTCAATCCTTTTTTTCATTTTCTTATTTCACTTAATTTTTAAATGAAGCAATTAAATTTAGCTGTTATATGGATTTCTATAGGATATGAGCACAAGAAAACGATTGCAACAAGCAAATATGAACGAATGATGTTGATTCAGGCAGTGTTTGTTTGTGGTGCAATGGAAATTCAAATTTTCTGTTTCAACTTCCTGTCGAAACTTACCATCAAACTGGTAGGCAAAGAAGTTGAAATTTTCGTCAATATTTTGACCAACTGTTTTGTAATTTTCAATGCTGCTGTATTGCCTACAGCCAATTTAATTTTCGTCAAACGATTTCGTGAGAGAGTGAAAAAGACATTTATAAAATTACTATTCAAAATTAAGGCAGCGCAAAGCAGGTCCACTGTTGTGCCAATTACTTCAATAACAACTAAGAAAACTCATCGAATTTCTTAGGAACGCTATGTCCGATTTCTGTAAAATGTCATAATTTTATATTATCCAACTTATTTAGTCTCGAATAGATAATAGATCTCTTGCTGGTATACTTTATCTTATATCGCGCAAACCATCTTGTCGCTTTTTTCTTTCCTGAATCTGTCAAAATTTTCTGAATTTGCCAACCTTCTGTTAACTCGATCTATTAGTCTAATGATGTAACACAGTCATTTTAAGAAACAAAGCATTTCAAAGATATTTGCTAGCTCAAAACAAAAGTCATTAAAATAATAGCTAACGAATAGCTGAAATTAATTGAAAAGCATTAACTTGTTTCTTTATGGAAATTGAAATTATTATTTTCAACTTTTTGCCAACATTCGCAGTCAAAATATTCGGTGAAAAAGCTAATATTCCATCGAGGATTTTTGTTAATTGCTGTATTATTTTCAATTGTGCCGTATTTCCTACCATTCATTTCATTTGCAACAAACAAGCTCGTAATATCTGGAAGCAAAAATGTTTATTTTTGAAAAATCGACTTGAGAAAAGATGGAATCACTGTTTTGAATGGTTTAGTGCATAATGATCAAAAGTTCAAACAATCTAAAATACAATCTATAGCAAAAGATGACTAATAATGATTCCAAAAACTGAAAATCTTCTTAGCATAAACCTAATTTCGAATATGCCAAGCTTTCCAAAGCAATAAAATGTATTTTTTCCACAATTGCGCAATTGTCTTACTTAAAGTGCAGTGATGTATATACTGATTTGTTTTTTTATTTTTAGTATAACTTACTTTGGTTCATTTCATTCTTTTACAATTAACACAAAGATAGATCGGATTCAACGAAGAAATATCATAGTACCATTAGCTGATTGCTCTATCAAATATGTTTGGTGCATTCGTCAGTGAGTTTCAAATACCAATGATTCCGAACAATTTTCTTTTCCTTTTTCTTGCAAATAATTTGCATGATTTCAAAAAATCATTAGATCCAGTCAAATCAAATGTTCCGATATAAAATTTTATCTTTTTATTTAAAAGAATTATTTATTATTATTTTTATTGTTATTATTTATTATTATTATTACTATCATTATTATTGACCAATCAATTTTGATTAAGGGCTTTTTTTCTATCACTCATTTAATTCAGTTTATTTCAGTCTTTCAAGTTCCCATCAATTTATTCATTTCCTTCATCTCACATTTGCTTGCAAATAGCATATTCTCGATATCGATTAATACTTGTATATTATTGTTACTAGCGAATAAAATCGTTACAACAGATCTTTCACTCAACGTATTCGTCTATACAAACTGCAATAACAAACAAGGAAGGCTCTTGAACATACGAAAGTCCAACTCGACTCTAAACCACAAGTTATATTCAGATTCAACGTTAACTTTCAGTATACCGACAAAATCTGTGATTCCAATAGGAGACCTTTAAATCGGTGGATTAGACATGATATTTTTACAGTATTTCAACAATGCACGTGAGACAATCGTTTATGTTGAGAGCAATCAGTAAGACAATCTTTAGCCCATAGATTTCTATTTCATAGATTAAAAAAAAAAACTGGCTCGACAGTTTTTGAATATTTCCAGCTTCAATTCGGTTTATCTCATCTACTCAATTCACTTTCAATAAATGTTGATATAGCAACAACAATAACAGTGATAGAGCGAAAGAAAAATGAAAGTTAAAAATTTATATTGTAAAAGAACAATAAGGTTATTTGTTGTGAACTTACGATAACAACAAGGACAGACATTTAAAATTTTCTCACAGACATTTAAAATTTTCTCGACAAAGGGATTTACAGACAGTTTCCTTTGCTTTTGAAATGGACACAATGGAGCACTTTGAAGTATTAAATGAATGCAGCAAAGTGCTAAGCTTATATCCTTCTTAGCTCATTTCACCACTTTTAAAATATTTGACTAATGAATGAAAATCATTTCTTCCCACGCTGTTTCACAAGACGAAGCATGCTGAGAGGATGCAACGTTGCATAGCATTAACACTATAAGTTGGCGAAAATCTGGGGGTGTGTCAAATTGTCAGGCAGTGAAAAAATGGTATATTGAATTGATAGGTGGAGAGATAAAGACAAAGAGGAAAGGCATTTTTCGAGAGAATTACAAAGATAAATTGGATACAATAGAGCAATAGGAATAATTGGAAGATGAAGACGAGAGAGAGAGAGAGGAGCATGATTGCGGAAATGCGGGAAGGGTTAGGAGGAGAAGGTTGGAAGTGTGATTTGGGGTCTAAGTATGTGGGAGACATATGCGGAATGTGGGGGGTAATTTTGTGGAAGTGGTAGCATTTTAAAATATTTTTTAAAGGTATATTAAGCTTTGTTATTTGTTCAATGAGACCGGAATATCACCATCCCTCCAATCGTTCCGCACTGATAGGTTAATGCTGGAAGTCAATATGAATACTTCCGGTACACCCCGGATTTTCTCACTTTTAATGATAATGCAACAAATGTGATTTCTTTCTACTGATATTGTCATAACAACAGCTTTGAACTTGTCAATGAGGAATTTGAAAAATATGTTAAAACATCATTTAAAGGCATTCATTCGAAGTTTAAACACATTAATTCAATATTTTTGACAGCTTTTTTTCTTTAACTTGAAACTATTCTAAATTTTGAAATTTACTATTAATTAGAAGCTAAGAATTATTGCTTCTATAATATGCTAAATTCTTTATTATGTATTGACAAATATGTTAACCTGAAGTTAATCACTAAATCTTCAACATAATATTTTTATTTATTCATTTAGAAAAAAAGAAAGAAAAGGAGAAACTCTAGAAAGGAATCGTCCAGCGATGTGTAAGCATATGATTGGTTGATCATGACCATGATAACAGTTGACAGCCTAATCGATTTCTTTCATTTTTCCAGCTATGTGGTCGTAATGTGATTTACTGTGGAATATTGAATAAGTGAAACATGGATGCATAGAATTAATACGAAAAGAATTTAAACTAGTTATTATAAGTAAAATATCAAGCAACTCATATGTTACTTCTTGAAATTGATGAACAGAAATGATGAAAAAATTTTCAAAAATACAAATGAGATGAAATGACAATTAAACGTTATCAATTGATTTATCATATTGTTCTTATCATCATTACGAATGATGAGATATCTTAAATAAAATATATGAAAAGGTAAATAAAAAGTAATTTTTTCAAGTGATGAAAAGAAACGGAATAAATGCATTCAAAAACATAAACTGCGATTATTTGATAATCGTGACAATCATACATGAAAAAATAATGACAATTTATGACGTTATGTGAAATATCAAGCTCAATAAATTGACATAACCAAGAGAAATATGAATGCGCAGAATATATTCTAAATAGTAATAATAATCATAATGATTAAATAATACTGTTATCATTAATAGCATGAAAATAAATATAATAATAAAGTTAAAAAATGATACAAGTACCAAAAAAATAGCAATAAAACATGAGAGAAGCGAAAGTTTTTTTATATATTTAAAATTTCTTGCTCTTTTAAGTAAAATCCAATAGAAATATAGTAATGTAATGCATGCACAATAAATGATGATCGACTAGGGAAATGACTAATTGTTTGATTCATAATTATTAAGAGATTAAGAAGCAACTCACTTGCTAATATAATCAATATATATCATTTAGATACCTAAATAAGAAATGCTAATATCTAATGATGACAATGATAAAGTGGATGAAGTTTATTTCTGAAATTGTCGGGACTTTACAAAAGCAAATAATCGTTTATATTGTTGCATATTATGCAATTTCAAATTTAATGATATTTCAAATTACTAGTTTATATATATTAGAACAGAAATCAAGAAGAAATCAGCATTAATTAAAAGAAAAGATTAGAAATGATTCAAAGATTGAGTAGTTCTATTCGTGCACTACCTCTAAGCAGAAGCTCAAAAAGGAGATAAAGAAAAAAAAAGTTTTTTTTTTCACACTAAAGAGTACTGACATTAGTTGCTTGATCACATAGATTATCTCATCTATACGTATCACTTTCGTAGCACATAAAAGTCACGATTCTCTAATAATGATTATGACAGTGCACCATTGTTACATTTGTATATTTGCACGTAACAGTTCTGTTTAGGATATTGCTTTTTTTTCGCACTAAAGAGTACTGACATAAGTTGCTTGATCACATAGATTATCTCATCTATATGTATCACTTTCGTAGCACATAAAAGTCACGATTCTCTAATAATGATTAAGACAGTGCACCATTGTTACATTTGTACATTTGCATGTAAAAGTTCTGTTTAGGATATTGCTTAGGAAATATTGTTTGCACATATTGTAGAATATTCTTATATTGTAGAAAAAAAAAAGTTATATTATAGAATATTATGTATTTCTTTAATTTGACAGATGTATGGCTTATTTTAAGTGAACTTTGGCGTGTATTTCAGATTATTTCTATTATGTGTTTCAAATTATTCTGCAAAATGTTTGCTGCGGCTGAAGAAGGTCCGGAACATCCGGACATATCTGATGCTCTCCGGTATTTGGAGAATGCACCTGTAATGCTCCGTGCATTACAGGAATTCATTTCCGCCAAACAGCAGGTAATTATTTCATGATTTTTATTTATCTTTGGTATTGTTGCTTAATTGCTATGTCTGTGTTAAGAATACCGAATAGTAATTAAGCTTTGAAGTTTTAATGGAATAAACTGAGATTGAAAAAAGGAGTGATAAGTAAGCATTATAAACTTTTCAGCATGAAGACATGCTGCTCACCCGCTTGGCGGCTTACGAAGAGCGAAATGCCCAACAAAATATGGAAGAGGGACCGGCACCTCAGCAGCCGGAATTTAACATAGAAGAGGCAGAGTGGGCTCCTCTGCCTGACAGTTACGATGCAGAAGAACAATGGCTGGCGGAAGCAGAGTTGGCCCCTCTGCCAGATGATAGCGAGGAGAGCCCTGAGGTGCCGGTGGCATTACTATCGGTAATTCATATGTAGAATTGCAACCAGTGAAATGATCTTAGCTTGCTTTTACTTTAATCAAAAAAATCAACCAAGCTATAATAAACATTCTTTACATATAACATTTTTGATTTTAGTGTGCGGTATCTGCGATAAGCAATTTGAAACGTTAAAGGGGTGGCGCATTCACGCCTCCAAGAAGCATAAACAGGACGGTAAGTGCTTTAAAATGGAATTTTCAATAATTTCTGGCTCATTTAATTCGTTTAAAATTTGGGAGACTCATCAATTACATATATTTCAGGTTTTTGTGCACGCTGTGGCCATAACCTCCTGTTGCCACCCGAATTTACGGCTGCACAGAGAACAGCAGCGGTAGAACTCCATGCCCTCGATTGGTGTCCGAGGGCATGTACAGACGAAAGGCAGGTTAAACGCCGTCGGCTCAATCTTGTGGGGAGAGAAGAGGATGCTCAATACCTCTTCGTTCCAGGTGAGAAAAGTCATGGAGTGAAGTTTAAAAATAAAAGGACCAGATTGGAACAGAAAGATTTGTAAAGTTGACTTCGCAGATTTTTCAATCAGTGAATTTTTTTTGCAGGCCGGTAATACCATTCGGCACTCCCCACGCGGCCAGCCTGTCGCTGCCTATTCCAATGCTTCACCCTCTATCCAACGAAGGCGGTCAAGCGGGTTAGTAAATTTTGAAAAAAAAAAAAAAACCAAAAAATTAAAAAATAAGAAATAAAAAATAAAAAGAAAAAAACAAAAGAGAAAAAAATAGTAAAAAATAAAAAAAAAGAAAAATAAAGAAAAATAAAAAAAAGTAAAAGTAAAAAAAAACAAAAAACAAAAAAATAAAACGAAAAATTAAAAAAAAATCAAAAGAAATTTTTTTTTGTTCTTTTAAATTAATTTGACTACAAAAACAATCGAATTCAAAGTTCGGAAAGTTGGAACAGACCAATCCCAATGAGCCATTGGTAATGATAAATAAAAATCAAGAAACTTGCAAAGAGATTTTTTTTGATTGCCACTAAATTCGGTAGCAACATACCCTGAATTCGATTATGTTCTTTCCAGTTTTTTGTTTTCTTCTTTTTCTTTTTTTTTTTGGTATTGAAAACTTATTGTTGTTATATATTTATTTTGCATTTGGTCAGTATTATAAATGTTTTTTTTTCTTTTGTTTTATTTTCGTCATTTTTTTAACTTAATGTTTTTAATTGTTTTGTGCTATTACTAGTAGTTTCTAGTTTTCTGTTTTCTTAAAGCATCTAATAACTATTGTTTACTGTTTGAAGTTTATGTTTATTTAATATTTAAAAGTTCTTTTTTTTTTGGTTGACAGTGCTTGAATTTAGGCCATATTTTGGCAACTTTTAATGCACTTAATTTTGTATTATTTAAATTGTAATAAGTTTTTTTGTTCTATTTGTTCTGTTTGTTAGTGCTTTGTAATGGTTTAGGATGATTCGATATAGATAGTTAAATAGAGCATTTTTTTAATTTGTTTCTAACACTTTTTTTTAATTTGTTTTTAATTTTCATTTTTTTTAATTTGTTTTCTATTTGTTTAGCCAATAATTTGATTAATTGTCAGTTTCGATGAAATCACATCCTGAAAGTTTTTCTTTTCCAAGATTTTATAAAATTTAATTGCAATTTGAAAATGTATTCATTTTTATCAAATTTAGTTGCGCTTGGAAAAATTACTTAGAATAAAAGAAAAAAGTATATAATCTGTGGCATATTATATTTGTTTTATTTATTTATTATTATAAGGAAAAAAAAGCAATTATTTATTGTGAAAGTAAAAATTAGTATCACAAAATCATTTTTTTTTTGTAGCAGCAATTAATTTCCAATCGGTCATGCAAAAAAAATAGCAGGTGGTTAGCTTTCTTTGCTGCATGCTTTTTTTTATTGAGCATATTTATTGTACATTTTGATATAAAACTCATTGTTAACTATTAATTTTATTTGAATGATATTATTTTGCTTATTGTCTGCTTTTTTTTCATCTTTTTTTTTTAAAGTTAATTCTATTTGCTTTAGTAATTTATTGCTATAATTATTGCTTGTGTTGAAAGAAATTTTTTTAGTTCATAAATTTTCATTGAAATTATGTCCTTTCATCTTTTTTAAAATGCCTCTCAACACAATAAATTTTCCCATTTTTTTAAATACAATTTTTGCATAAATACATTTTTTGCATTTGCAAATTTTTCAAAAATTTTCTTCACTATAAATAATCATTTTATTATTGTATCAGTTAGTGTTAGCATAGGATCAGTTAGTGAAGAGTTTGCATAACCACTGGAAGTGTTAGTTTTGCAGACGATTAAAAGGAGTGTTATTCTAAACAGTTTACAAGGCTTTTTTTTTTGAAACTTGTAGTACTTTAAAACTAATTAAAAAATATTATTTAGGGTTTTTTATTTCCAAAAAGTCTTATGGTATAATTTCCTTTCCTTTTTTTTTTTCTGTAATGTTTTTGTTGCACAATAAATTTTCCCATTTTTTTAAATACATTTTCTTGCCTTTGCAAATTTTTCAAAAACTTTCTTCATCATAAATAATCATTTTATTATTTTATCAGTTAGTATTAGTACAGGATCTGTTAGTGAAGAGCTAGCATAACCACTGGAAGTGTTATTCTAACAAGACTTTTTTAAGAAAAAATGGAATCAAATTGTGCCATATGTTTGGAACAATTAAAATATCCGCTTGGAAGACTTGATAATTGTAAGCACAAATTCTGTTTTAAATGTATTCGCGATTGGTTAAAAAAGCGATCACAATGCCCACTTTGTGATGGAGAGCCAAAATATCTAATTAAAATTGAAGAAACAAAAAATGAAACAAAAATGCCAGTAAAAAAAAGAACAAAGGAACAATTTGAAAATGAGGTTATCACTGTTACTAATATTATCAATGTTATCATTAATATATCATCACTATGAAATATTTTAATTTGATTGTCTATATCATTAATTTTTTTAAATTTAATTAACATGATGATTATTATTATAGTGAAATGGTCCTTTGTTTGGTTAATTAAATATTTTAAACAATTTTTCCGGACACGGTCATGAAAATATTCCAGTTTACCTTTCTTTATGTAAAGATTCTAGTCTAGGACCATATATGAAATTTTTAACCTAGAATTTACCAAGCAGTTAAAATTAAGCATTTAAATCAGAAGAAATTTGATTAAATTGGAGGAAAGGTGAAAATTCATAATGTTATTCTGTATAAACAGAAGTCTTTCAAGCTTCATTGTAATTTTTTAAAAAATTTGAATTTCAAATCTATCCTTTAGAGTCTTATCCCTTTTGACATAATTCTGTTCTAAATTTTCAGAAAAAAGAAATATTACAATCATTTGTTGTTAATTATTTTGAAATCCTTTTTCATTTTTGCTTAAAATTTTGCAAAATTTTTGAATTTTCAAGCTTCTTATCCAAGAACAACTGGAAAATGATCATGGCGGCCCTTCAAATGAAGATATTACCATTGAATATGCAAACTGTCGATCATGCAGAAGTTCAGATAATCAACATTTACTGCTACTCTGCGACGGAAACATTGGTCAAAATGCTGATGGTTCTACGATTCGCTGTAATGTTGCATATCATTGCTACTGCTTACCGGAGAAACTGGAGCGAATCCCGGAAAATGACTGGTTTTGTCCATTCTGCGAAAACAAACCAGAAAATGCACAGCATTTTGTAGAACAAACAAATTTAAATGTTTCACGTTCAGAAGAAGCTGGTAGTAGTAGTTCAAAACAATTAAAGAATGAGACTGATGTATCGAAATGTCATCTAAGCGGTTGTTTGGAGCAAGGAAATACGAAAATAGAAACTGGATGCAGCAAAATTAGAAATTCCGAATCAGCGCTTATTCAAGACGCTTATGGTGATTCGGATACGGAAAGTGAATCAAGAGACTATAGTAATGAAAAGAGTGAATTATATTCAACAAGTGATGCAGCTAGTGATAATTATGATGATAGCAACGAAATAACAGTCGAAAATACTAGCGGCAAGTTATCATATAGACGAAAATTAACAAACTATAATATTTTGATAATAAGATTACAACTCTTAAAAAATTAGAAATTTTAATACAGAAATAAGAATTACAAATCATTCTACGTGATATTTTACGTTTGCGTGCTATACGTAGATGAAATATACGTCGATGCGAACGTACAAATATACGAAATTAATATTTCTTCATTAAAAAACAGACAAGAAATTATAACTAAAGCTAGAATAGGAACAAAAATATCGAATTTACTTATAAATCATTAATATATAGGGACAAATTATGATGTATTGGACGACGACGACGATGACGATGACAGTGATGATGGTGAGGATGATGATGATTGGAACGAATCGGATGAAACAGATTCTGAGCAAAAATTCCACCAAGCGATATTTCGCGATAATTACAGACGAAGAAGAGGAATGAAGCGTAATCAAAGAATTACATACCGCCGATAAAGTTGTAGAATTGATGACAAAGACGAAATGAAATTCTGGTAAAGCGGGAATATCAAAGACTGATTCTAACACATCATCACTCTAGCTAACAGATCACTCCTATATACTAAATAATAATGATAATATTAATAATTGCTGATGTATTTGATATACCTATGATTTTCTAACCAACTTACAATTTTACTTGTGATAATGCAATCAATGAATGTGTGAACTGAAATAAACTTATGCTAAAATCCAGAATTCCTATTACAATATTAACAGCGTTAATCTAAGTTACATTTGTTCATAAAAATTTTGAATCCGAATTTCATGAAATTTTCATGTATAGTTCGCATAGCGCTAAATTATTACTGATAGTGTACTATAATGAAATGATTTAAAAGAGAAATAAATACTTGTGTTAAAAAAAACCACTTGCGTCAGCTTATAATCACGTAATATATCCGTGATCTCTCGTAATCACGCAAACACATTCATAATTTTGGCATGATATTTTCCGTTATACTATTTACTTAT